AATTGCTCGTTATTGAGGTGCCTGACTTCTGCACCCTGCTTTGTGCTTTCAGGCAGGTGCAACCCCGCAAGGCCCCCGGTCCGGACGGGATTCCTGCCTCCTTATGTCGGCGGTTCTCCTTCGACATGGCCACTCTCCTGTGGCCGATCGTGTTAAAGACCTTCATATACCGGTCGGAACCCATAGGACTTAAAGGGGGGGTGCTCTTCCACATAGATAAGGCATCGGCCACTGACAAGTTGGAGTGCAGTTCTCAGAGAGGTATCCTGGCCCAGTCTGTACTTGACAAGGTGCTCCATAAGTCCCTCGGCAGCTTGTCTCAACTGAAATAGACAGGCAGGCGAACGCGCTCCAGCTGGGTGGGCGCAAGGGCTCTTCCTTCGTCTTTGGTTCATTCTGCAGCCGAACGTTCCTTGCACAGGCCCGCTTTCGCGGGCGCTCTGCCGCCATCTTGTTCACTGACTTGATCTCGGCATACTATGCCATCGTCCGGGAGGCAATTACGGGGCCTGGTCTTACACCTCGCCCTTTTCTGGATGTTGTTCAGTCGTTGGGGCTGGCAGCCGAAGACCTCCAAGCCCTTGCTGCGTATGCCTCGGAGGATCCCGTCCTCCGCGAAGGGCATTGCTCAGAACTGCTCCGCAGCCTGGTGCGGGAGCTGCACAGCTTCACCTGGTTTACTTTGAGTGGAGACCAGCAAGTGGTGATGACGGCCCGTGGCTCTCGACCAGGCGGATGCCTGGCGGACTCCGTCTTTACGCTCTTGTTTAGTCGAGCACTGGAGAGGCGCAAGACGGCGGTGCCCATCAGTTGCTGCCCGGTGGTTTCGTGGACAGGTTCCCGTGAGTTGGTCATGGTGGAGGCAGGTGCAGGTCAGGCGAAGGCTAGTCTTTTAGACATTGCTTACGCAGACGACCTTGCCACGTGCATTGTGTCTGAGAGCGCGGAGACGCTCCCGCAGCTGGTCTCCCGCACTGCGGGAGCCACGTTGGATGGCCTCTCTTGCCACGGCCTGTCGGCCAACATGGGGCCTAGGAAAACAGCGGCCATGCTCTGTCCTGTCGGTGTGGGCGCCAAGGCTGTCAGAGATCTTGTCTTCACCAGGAACGGTGGCAAGCTTTGGGTTCTTCGCGAAAACACGGGTTCTACGAGGCTCGACGCTGTTGCGCAGTATAAGCACCTCGGATCTACCATTTCCTTCTCCGGATCTCTCCTGCCGGAAGTTCGGGTTAAGATGGGCCTGGCTAGGGGGGCCTTCAAGGAGGGCCAGTGTAGGCTTCTGTGCCAGGCAGATAGCCCTATCTAAGCGGGTAGCTTTGTTCCGCTCACATGTCTTGTCAATTGTTCTCACAGGGGGGGGCTCCTGGCCGACCATGTGCGCATCCAGCTGGAACCTGTACGAGAAGGGCTTATATGCGCTTTTTCGCCGCATGTTGCGGGTTCCTCGGGAGGCAGATCAGCGCATCAGCCGGGAGCGCATACTCGCTCGACTGGGAGTTCCTGCTCCTTTGGATCTGCCGCAGGGAGAGCGGGTCAGATTTCTCGGACAATTGGTTCGCGGCGGTCCTGACGCCGCCTGGGCGGCCCTACAGAACGCACCGCGCGCCCTGGAGGCTTTTCACTCCGCATGCAGATGGCTGTACGAGGCCATCCGAAATACCGTGGAACTGGGAGACTTTGCCACCGACTGGCCTGGATGGAGAGACATGATGATACACCGCCCTGGTCGATGGAAAGGCCTGATCAGGCGGGCTTTGCAGTGGCACCTCGGCCGCCACATTGCCGCTGCCTCCATGCAGAGCTGCGTCAGACAGTGTTGGGAGCCCCGAGAGGCTCCTCCGCCGGAGATCACAAGGGCCACACACGCGTGCGTCCCATGTCGGCTTGCCTTCGCGGACTTCCAGTCCTGGGCGGCTCACGCTGCTCGTACTCATAAGTACAAGGCACGAGCCCGCAGGCATGGGATTGGGCTCCGGTGCCGGGCCTGTGGCTCGACCTACGCCAAAAACCGTCGACTTGTCAGCCATCTTCAAGGGTCCGCGGTATGCTGTCAGGCGATTGAACAGAAGGTGGATGGACTGCTGCCTCCCCTGGAGCAGCCTGATGGACCGACTCAGGCCGGTTGGACACCGGGCCTAAACCTTCCTATCTGTCCCCACCCGATCCTGACCATAGTCTGGCGCTTATGGCTCTGTTGCGTCAGGGTACCTTCGCGTCCGATTCTGAGATTTTCGAGGCTGTGTCCTCGGTCATCGAGCCGTTTGACCTGTTGGCTGACACCCTGCGCCTGTGGATTCAGGGCCTGCCTGAGGGACAGATGCGTGACTGGGCGGTTGATGTCTTGGCCTGCTGGCAGGTTGAGCTCCTCTGCGATTCAGCGTCTGCTGGTTGCAGACGGGCAGAAGAAGGTGTGGAGGTTGATGACATCCTTTGCTTCGATCCCCGGCTCGTTCCCCTGCCTTATGCTGGCGGCCAAGGTCTGCGGTTTGGCCTTATTGTCGGCGGTCTCCACCCTAAGGACTTCCTGGGTGACCGTCAATGCCCGGTTCCGGAGTGGCGGAAGGTGGATTTCTTTGTTGGCTCGGTTGACTTAGCCGCTTGCGGCTGCCTCTTAGTCCGCGTCCCTGCTCCTCCTGTGGCCTGTTCCCCGTTCTGGGTCACGCCGTCTTGCGCCCTCCGTGCGCAACGGGACCACCAGACTTGGTTGAATGCGGCCCTTACCTGGATTTCTGCCGCTTTTGGACTTGCTCGGCTCGGTCGCCTCTGCTGCTTGCACTTTCCGCTTACGCGCAGCCAGGGCGGCCCTTTCTTCGAGTGGCTTGAGCGAACTGCTAATACGGCGACAGGCTCGGCACTCGCTGTTTCGTTTCACCCCTGAATTCGAGCTCGTGGTACGTCCTTACCGGACTTGGCACCATCCGAAAAAAAAAGTACTATTGTTGGGAGTTCCATATTATAGCTATGGTATAGTGGGCATGGGCTCCCAAACCCTATTCTGGCCCCTTTATTCAGGCCCCTATAGTACCAGTGCACCGGCGCACTTGACGCATCAGGCCGATCAGGCTTCCCTAGCCAGATAGGGACTGGCTTCTCTGCGGAAGCACTTGCTGACTCAAATTGGCCCCCTAAACCCTATAATATAGGGGCCTCAATAATTCGAATGGGGTTTGGGGGGTCTATGCCACAATACCTATATAATAAGGAGCCCGCAAAAACCCTATTCTAATTAGTAAGGCCCCTACATTAAACCTTTAGCCTTTAAACCTTTAAACCCAACCCTAGAAGCTCTGCAGGAGGATTGCCCTGGCCTGCAGGCGACATCCCCTGCACAATGGTTGGGACAGGTTCGGGTTTAGGGTTTAGGGTTTAGGGTTTAGGGTTTAGGGTTTAGGGTTGGTGGTCCACTGAACACCCGGCTCGAGAAGCTGAGGGGACACAACTAGCGGAGGATGAGCCGGGTGGCTGTGTTGGGGGGGCGAGTAAAATTCCTCTTAAGACGTACTTAAGAAACCCCTAAACCCTAAACCC